TGCTGGTTGCTTTCTTATGAAGGTTTGTTCTTTGCTATCCAGACGTGAACACATCCAAGTTTGGCCAATTGATAAACCTTTCCTATTGTTCAGTTTTTAGATGCTTAGGAGAGACTTGATAGAGTTTAACACCTAAAATTTCTGAAAATTCCACCTACACTGAGCACATTCCATCCTGGGAGCTTCAGAGCCTAAGGATTTTTTCTCATAGTTGCTCCCCCCAGCTACTACAAGCCACTGTAGGTGCTGACAGAAGTGATGGTTTGTCACACAATTGGGCTCCTGAAGTGCTTTATAGCTGTGCCTTTACAGAAGTGCACAGCTGCAGAGTGCTTTAACAGTGCCTGATCACACAACATTCTGAAACCTCATTACATGAGACTTCAGATGAAGGCACTCCAAAGCAGAGTGCCTTTGTTAACTTGTGTCAGCGCGCACTGTAAGCAGGGCCAGGCTGATGTAGTCCAGCCCTGCCTCCAATGCTGTTTACAAAACGGGAGGGGGAGAAGGGAGGGGAGGGAGTTTCATTTGGGGTTTGCCCAGCCTGAGCTGGAGGGTGGAGCAGATGGACTGGAGCCCTCCCAACTGAGTTACAGCAGGGAGCGCGCATCTGTCAGTGCCCCATGGTGTTGAGTTTCATAACTGTTCTCAACATATGTCCTGATGAAATGTTGAGGAAGCATGGGCTTAACTTGGAATATTTTTGTCAGACAGAAAAGGACTGTGCTCCAAGAATGAACCAGGAATGCATGGTTAATGAGCATATTACCTCTAGGATTTTGGCCTCATATGTTACAGAAAGCGGAATGTGTGTAGCGAAAGTAGGTACGTAAGGAATTGCTGGAGGAGAGAGTATCACTTCAATGGTTAAACAAAGATAAAAGTTGCCCTGAAGCTAGTAAGAATTATATCTTACTATAAAGTGCTAAAAAAGTTCAAGTAGCCTGAGAAACTAGAACCTAATCATCTCAAACTGGACTTCTAAAATCAGTCTATACTTTTGACCTTAATCTTTTTGCTTCATTTTCTCAACTCTAAAATGAGGACAATACCAGCTCCTCACCTTATAAGACGTGATATAAGGAAAATTAATTTACGTATGTAAAGTATTCTAATAAAGTTGGAATGAGTATGTTAGAAGATTGAATTTTTCTCCAGGGTAGGCCTGGAATAATATACAATAGTGAAGAAGGTGTGAAGACATATTTGGGTAAAATACTGGGTAACTGTTCATTAAATGAGCACTGTCCATCCCAAATACTAAATAAGGCAAGGGTTTTAAGAAAAATATAATATGCAAATAAGAAGTACAAAAATTATATACAAATAAAATAATAAAACACAAGATACATACATAGGGGCCAAATTAAATTTGCACTGGCAACTAATTCTGGCATTTCCTAAATTTTGAATGCTTGACTCTGCAACCATAGCTATCTTTAAATGTAGTTTTTTACATGTAATGTACATGTATATTATGGTAAGGACTATTTGTCTTCTTTGTATTTATTTAGACAGGTTTAATAAGTTTGAAGTTTGTTGACTTTTGAATATATTGCCACTGCCTTCTTTGTGGTATGCCAGTAACAACTCTTTAGGAGTTAGGAAAAGTGATTAAATAACACACAAAAGATGTCAAATGATACCGTTAAGATGATTGACTTTAAAATGCAAAATAAAGTCAATTGAGAGCGATTACTGGAGCTAATCATTTTAGGCTTGCCTTTGAAAAATGCATCTTCATTTACAATTGAAAACAAATGCTGTTTTTGCTGTTTAGTATTCATGTAGGTAGAGTTAGCCTGTTGACTAGAGAAGACATTATAACATAAATGCTATCTTCAAAATGTATTTTTTACTAATTTCCTGGTGTTTGTAATATATATATTTAGCTCCACAGAGGAAGTAATATGGCTTCCTTTAGTATTCCAAGTATAAATTTACTCAGCAGATTTGGTTTATTAAAATGTAAATAATGGGATATGGAACATTTGGCAAATGAAAAATCCAAGAGGAGTATAAACAGTTTTATTTATCGTTCATGTTTCAAGTCATTTATTGAAACACACCTTGCAGTAACAGCCACTGAGTATTAGCTATGAAGTTCTCATCATGGCTTGAATAGTATCTAACAGGTCAAGCTATTTGTATGTTTAATAGGTTCACAGTGTTTCAAATGTACCTCAAGAAACAACGTCTTAGGTTACATTCAGAAAAAAAGTACATTCAGTATGCCTACGATTCAGTTCAACATTGTTTCAAATTAATTATTCCTCTTTAATTGCTTTATATAAACAGAAATGACCTATTCATTTAAAGAAAATCTATCAGCACAGAATGAATTCTCTCTTATAAACAAGCAAGATGAACTTGACCTTGTTTGAACTTGTTTTGATGTGGCCCAGATGGTAGGCTACATGCTTGAATAGCAGGCTAGAGCTGAGGAAAAACTCATATAGCAAGATCTAGATTTATAGCCATTTGCAAATTCCTACCTTGTATTGTCCTTTCAGCATCTGTTCTGCCCCCGCTGCGGTCAGCTTCTATCTCTGGGGTCAGAGAGTCTAGAAGCACAGAAAGGTATGACTGACACATATTTCATTCAGTTCTTATAGCCCTTTTTACAACCTGTTACTCCAATGCTGAATTACAATACAACCAACCTTTGTCACTTTTTTAAATGTTGAACAATGACTGGAGGCCAAGACAATCTTTTTTTTTTGACTATAGGAAGATTAATGAGCAATAGATTTTTAAGCGGGGGAGGGGAATCAACAAAAAATAACTTCTCAGGCCAATAATGTAAAGTTTTTCTAGTTTCATTTGAATTAAATAATTTGTGCATATATTATATAAAATGGCATCACAATGAATTGAGAAGTATCATCAAAAGGAGCAAAAAAAGAAAACATTTCTGTTACAGAAGAAAAATACTTTTCATCAATACAATCAACTCCGTCTGGCACTTAAACTTGCGGTTAACAACACACAGGCAAAAAGTGGCTTCTTACCATTTAGGACCCTGAGACTATCCGTTGAAGTTGCCTGTTTCAGTGTCTGTTCTGCTTGTTCCCGGCGCTTAGTCTCAAATTCAAGTGCTTCCTGCAATTTCCTCTTTGCTTTCTTTTCTTTCTTTAACCTTTTCTGAATTATTGCTGGGAAAAAGAATATCAGTACAGTCAAGTTAATTCTACTTATGGGTTTCTGAAATGATACATCTGCAATATTTCATATTCTCTGAATCATTGTCTATATGTAGTTAGGACATGCTTCCACTGCATTGGGTTATTTTAACAATTATTCTATACAGTTAGAAGCTATATGTAATATTTAGCTACTGTTTAAAGGATTCTCTTATAAATATGGGCAAAGATGTATGAAGTCCAAAATTCCACAACCAAGGATCTGGTCATCAATTTTACCTTTTGCATTATCTCACATGAATATTCTCATCTCTTCCAGTTTTGTTTACGGTTGTCATGTTCTTCCAGAAATAAGTCCACGTGAGCAGACAGCTGGTGCGTGCTCAGTGACGTTATCCTCTGCTTGCCTGTTTGCCTCTCTCCCACAAGGGGGAGTTGTAACTGTTTGCAGTATCCCTACCCCACCTGGGTGCTACACCTCAGGCCTGCTAAAGAGGAGGCTCAGAAAAGCAGATATGAGAATAGGAATTTGCAGTGTGATATCCTTTACTCTTCAGCCTAAGACACCAGCCTCTGTAGAGTTTCTGCATTTCCAGCCATGTTGCTGCTGCCTTCCCCATTTTTCCTCATGGTGCCCACTCTCCTTCCCAACTTACATTTCTTTAACCAAATCTTATTAGTTGTGCTCTTTTTTTATTCTGTCTCCTTTCCTCTCCACTGATTCACTCACATTCTTTATCAAGCCAGAAGGAGGTGTATAATATAAATCTCTCTCTAAATCCTGCAACAAAGCTACCTGAACTTTGCAGCAACAACAGTGCTGGAGCACCTGTCAGACTAGACATCAGACTGCTGTCTAAAATGTATGGAAAAATATACAAACAAATTAGGTGTGCTATAAAATTAAATGTCCTGGTTCCAATCTAACAAGCCTTCCATCTACACACAATGACCTGCTTTAACTAGAGTTCTGCTTGCAAAGAGCTTGCAGGACCAGGACAAAAATGGAGCACACGGGTGACACTTATTTGGACAGAATTCAATATAAATCCTCATTTCTATATGCTGTCAATGTGCTTCTCCAGACCTTACAGCCATAGTTTGTATGACTTTTGTGTAATGGAGATTAAAGAGCCTTATTGCAGAATTTAGATCCCTGATGCAGTGAAGTAGCATTCTGGGATTCATGTAGGGGTTTGGACCCCTGAGATCCCTTCCAATCCTATGATTCTTTGAAAGTAATGTGAACAGACCTTTGTAAATCACGGCAAGTCAAAGCAAACTGCTAAAGAACATGTGAGCATGTTTCCCTCCCCCTGACCTAAGAGTTCCTTCTTCAGTTTTCCATAATTATTGTTCAAGTAACATGGGTCTTTCACACCTTCTTATTTCCGCCAATAACCCATTCTCTGTAAAGCCTACTACAATTCAAATGACCAAATAAGAGGAAATGCTGTTGAAAAGTGAAAGCCATTTTTAAAGCCATATTCTAAGATCAAGGCATTCTCTGGATAATCCAGTGCATTTTGTGTCTGAACAATTCTCTCTGCATGGCACTTAAGTTCTTTGGGCCTAAGACATGGATTAATTCATTCTGCATAGTACCAACCCCACTATGTATTGGTATACACTATTGATGCATCAGTAAATTAGTAAATAAGAGTAAATTTATCATCTTCTACAAATTATAAATTAAATGCATCTTGAGTCACTTCAATATTTTTCATGATAAGTACTTTGCAACTGACTTTAATAAATGTGAAGCAAACATATGTTGCTTTTTGAATTAAAATGTCATCATGGCTGACACGTTGTAGATGTGACTATGGCAGTCAGAGACAGAATTAGCAAACCCTTACTGTGTAGCTGCCCACAAAAAAAAAAATATTATCCTGTTTTTACTACCTGATCAGACACCAGTCACTAATTGGAAGACATGCATATTAGAAGGAAAAGGTACAGTAAATTAGATAAAGAAAAAAAAATGTGTAGTAAATACAGTGGCAGTTAATTGATGTTGCCTAAAATGCCTGAAATATTCAGATAAACATATACTAAACAAACTGAGATTTCTGCTGAATTTATATGACCTATTACGGGTAGCTATTTGGATTGGTTACCTAAAACTGGATTTATATAAAGGAATACAAGCTGTTTGTGAAGAACATATGTTTATGTTCCAAGTTTTAAGCGTATTGCTAGAAGTCTCAAACATATTCATAGTGAGTCACATCCTGAGAATGATCTTACGGGCCTTCTTTCCCTTGCACTAATGCTTCCATTAATGTTTGTGCAGTGTCCTTTTGGAAATGATTGCTTCCATGGAAAATGATCATTAGAATAGCATGCAGGAATTTTTAAACTCCCTTCTAGCAAGAAATGTGTTCTTAAAATAATCGCACCTTTCCACTTTATTCTTTTCACCTCCTTGATTCTGTTTATCTTCAAGCACAGCCCATCACCTATCATCTTTTTATAGAAAGGTGGCCTCTAGGGGAGGCAACTGCCATCATTGTTTTACTTTATCACGTGTACCACTTTTAGTGCCAAATCTCAAACCTCCTTGCCCTAACTGTCCTACCAGCTGTAATGTCATCATTAGTGGTACAAATCAGAAAGACACGATGTGCAACACTGATGATACAACAGCCAATTACCTCAGTATCCCACAGAAAAACAGGGATTATCAAGTGATCCTCCTCAGTCTGTAATCTTAACCCCTCTGCTGGACCTCAGTTTGCTTGTCTGTGAAACAGGCATACTACCCAATGCGTTGTGAGCATGTTGCGAAGCTTAGAATTGTGCAGTACTGTAAATAATACTTGAAATCCTCAGGAAGTTGTTTATAAGGTATTATTGGTATAATCATACTGAATTAAATAGGTCAGGTATAGTTTTAGTGAAGATTCAGTGTACAGGTGTGGGAATTATTAATAGTTATGAAGTTTAATGATTCATTCTCACCTGTTTAAAAGGTAGTGTGTGAGTCATGTAGCTGTGGTGATCAAGAAATTATGTGAGAGGCAAGGATCTCTTAGGGTGATATCTTTTATTGGACCAACTATGTAGTTGGGATGTAGTTAGACAAGTTTTTAAATGTCTTGCAGTTGAAAGCTGCTTTAACTATCCCAACTACACAGTTGGTCCAATAAAAGATATCAGCCTCAGAAATCCTTGCCTCTGTTTAAAAGGTAAATTTATAGTGTAACAGTCATGCCCTCTAGTGGGAAGAGGCATTAAATAGGGTTATAGTGCTACTCAATAATGTAACCCTACTCAGGGTATAACACTACTGATTATGAATCCAAGTGTCCTCATTTCAAGCTTCTACACAGACATTTCTTGCTTAGCTATTTTGTCAAACTAGTAAACTACCCTAAGAACAGAATTATACATTTAGCATGCCAAAAATATAGATGACTTGTCATGATCCATGTTGAACATCCTGTGAGCACAAGAGGTTAACTGCCCCATACAATGTAATTAAATAACACAATGCAATGATAAATGCAGAAAAATAAAGTAGTAAACCTAGAAGAATACTCTCAAAATGCAAACAGTTCATGAAAAATCATTTTTAAGTGCCTGACTTTTATAGTTATTGTTTACAATGTCAAATAAAAGAGCTAAAATGAAATTGAAAAAAGTATCTGATGCATGCATATCCTTTACAGGGGTTTAAAGTCAGCACCTGAATTGCTGTTCCTTTTACCTTAATTCAGATTCATAGCAAGTCGTTCTATGAACAAGTAGGTAGCCTAGTATGGATAAACTAAAAGATTCACTATTCAATATTGTTATATCTTATTACCTCTGGGTTGCCCAAAATTGTGTATCTTATGAGATGCTTACAATATTAGATAGTTTAGTACTCATAAAGTTCAAATTGGTGTTGTTATCCTATAATAAAGAATAAAACAATAATATTAATAATATTAACTTTGACTTTATGAATGCTGAACTGTCTGATCTCCTAAATATTATTCCTATTGTTGTTATTATCTATTCACATAAAAACCAAAATAATGATGCTAAAAATTGGTGATGATAAACAAAAATTAATAAAGGCTGAGTTAGGATTAATGAAATGCACCTCCTGCTAAAAGCCAAAATTGGTCAAAGTTTGGTTTTATATCCAACAACATGATTTCATAATTTTGAATGTGTTATGAATAAGTATATGCCTGTCTTTACCTCTTCATGACATGTTATATCAAAAGAGCTTCCAGCAAAAAGCTGAGAAAAGGGAAGGTCTGGGTTCAAATCCTGCTCACTTATTATGCAGAATCAGGCAAGCTACTAACTTCCTAGATTGCAGTCAGTGTGGCTATAAAATGAGGTAGAAAGAAGGGTTCTATTCAAAACCAGATGTTGCACCAGAAATGAGCTTTCATGGGTAAATACATTACAAAGAGGTTATGTGTGCTTACAAAACAGTCTAAGTGTTTGTGAAATACCTCTGTTCTTCTGTTCCACAGCCAACTGTTTTTCAAGAGTTTCCCTCAGTTCTCGTTCCCTGAACAACTCCATCTTCAGCTCTGTCTTTTCCAGTTGGACTTGTTTCTCTTGAGCTCTGGCATTGTCTATGGCAACCTTTAATAGGCCCTGTTAAAAAATAAAGTTGAACAGTGTAATGTTGGGGAATGTAAAACAGCTGACATAATAAATAACTGCTGTTGTTCTTCCTTGATTAGACATGTGAGATTTTACAAATGAAATAATCCTGTTACCAGGTCACTGTTACATGGGGTCACATATCAGCCTAATAAGCCTTCCTATTATCATTTTTATATACTGAAACACATTTTAACAGGTGGACAAGCTATCTGAAAAAACACATAGGGTAAAGTTTTCAAAAAGAAAAACTCCACTCAGGCTTCATTTGTGCTTACAATGTATGCAAAAATGTTGCAGGGCTTGACCTCTCTGAGACAGGAAAGCACAACAGTATCACCCTGTACAAATGAGGGCTTCTGCATCTAAGGACGAAGTTTGTCCCCAAGTGAAAACAAGTGATGGTTTCAATATTGCCCATTTTTCAGTTTTCCTCTGAAGGACAGCTTTAATTTTCATTGTGAGCTCCCTATGACCCTGGCTAGTGGGGACAGCATTGTTCTTCTTCTAATTAGTATTATTATTATTGGGTGCATACAGCCATTCACCACAGCTGGTCTACATTCATGATACTTAAAGTCATATGAATGGAGACAGGGAGTGGAATGTACAGGCATTCACTGCCCCAGGAGCCACATGGGGAAACTAGTGTAAATAATTTGGAGTGGGAGGAGACACAGGATCGGGAGGGAGGGGAGTAGTAGGTCCAGGGTGAGGGTTGATGGGTCTGGTGGGGGTTGGTGGGATTGGGGGGCTTGAGGGTCTGCAGGGGGGGCTGTCCATCCGGGGATGGGGGCCTCGGGGGCTAAAAATAGCCTGGTCATGGTTGAGGGGGTAGAAAGAACACAGCTGTGTTGAGCAGCTGGGCCTTCCCAGCCCCAGCACTGCACTCCAAATGTATGTAGGCATTCGAAAGACTGGGTTAACCCATTCCCAGTTTAAGTTAGTTTACCTCCTCAGGTGAACTAACTTAGATCTGGCCCACTATTTCAGGGGGGGGGGATCTAAATCCCTGTGAACCAGATTGCAACTCCTGGGGCAGCCATGATGCCTCTCAATGAAAGTGCAACTCCTGTCTGGCTCAAACTCTATGGCCCCTCTCTTTAGTTCACTCACCTGCCATGCCTTGATCTTATTATCAAACAGTGTTTAGGGAAGGCTACCAACAGGCCTCAGTGTGAACCTCAAAACTACTAGTTTTCCCCTGGGTCTCATTCCAGTCCTCCATCCTAACAGGTCACTCCTGGCTTGACTAGGCCCCTCTAGGGCACCTGTAGCCTTAGGAACAAATTGTATGGCTCCTTTCCCTCCCCTACGCCATGCCCCAAGCCTCACAGGTGTTACAATTATGTTGTTACCTATGTTGAGGCCTCAGCTTCCCCAGCCTCCGTCCCTTTCAATCTCACCAGACCCATTTGCCTAGGCTCACTATACCAGGCCTGGCATGAAGGCACTAGCTTCACTCTTATCACTCTCTGGGTCCCTCGCCTTTGTCCACCAGGCCCCTAACCCACTGGGGCTGTGCTCTTCCAGCACTGGGCTCCTGGCCCCTATCTCATTGTGCCCTTGCCAGACACTGAGCTCCTGGCCCCTGTCTCAGTGTGCGCCTCTTGGGAAGTGAGTCTCTGTGACCCCCATCTTACTGTGCCCCTCTCGGGCAGTGGGTCCCTTCACCCTGCCCCCCCATTTGTTCAGTAGCCTTTTACTGCACCTCACTGGGCTCAATACTAGCTCAGTCCTTGAGCACAGCCCTGGCAACGGCTCCAGGCACTTCTGTGCCTCACAGGCACTAACGGGACCTCCAAAACCACCCCTTATAGTCCCAGTCCAAACCACCACTATAAACAGCAACATAAATATAAGCCCCTGGGCTATAACGTAATAGTAACAATGGAAACAGTCCTCTGCCCCTTTAAGAGGGAAAACATTTACCACTGATATAGCCTGCCTCCTTGCCAAGGTAACTTGTGAGCTCCCAGGGCCTCACTACTCCTGTAGGCAGCACACAGACAGTCAAGTATCCCTGGGTATCTCTCCTGGGCAGGAGCTGCTTCCCCTAGCAGCTGCCAGGAAGAGACTCCTCTGCCAGCCCCAGCCTTGGTCTTATATGATCTCAGGGTCTTGCCTATATCCAGTCAGCTGACCGCTTACAGGTGGCTGCTAACTGCCTCATTTGCTCTGTTGCCCTGGCAGCTGGTGCACCCTGCCTGCCCTGCAGCACTCCCTGCCTGTGCTGTCTTTATCTTAAAATAACAGAGAACCTGGCCTCTCTGTTACACCCTGTGAACATCTGCACAGATGGACATTTAGATCAACCTAACCCTAGTTACGTCAATCCAAATGTAATGGCTGTATGTACTCATTATTAGTGGTGGTGGTGGCATCATGTTTTTATTGTGTCCTTATAAACCACAAATGAGATCAGAGTCTCTTTCTGAAAAGCACATAGACACATAGTCAAAAAGATTCCTATGCTCCCTGCATTGAAGTTGAGACCCTATGGCAGAAGACAAGCTACAAGTACTTCACCTTCTCTTGACAAAAAAACTGGAAGGGTTTCTCAGTATCACATTGAATTTATGCTCAAGAAAATAGAAAGAACCCAAAATGGCCAATAGTCTGATAGGTATGCAGCTGGTATGTACCTGGCTAGGTGCATGGAAGGGAATTTGGGTTCAAGGTCTCCTATGTCTGATGTGAAGTAGGGTCTTAAATCTGGATCTTCCATACGCCAAGGGACTAATTAGAAGATGGGTAATATGGAAGAAAGTCTCCGGTTGAAGCTGTTCTCCTTTGCATAAATAATTACACTTCAGTAGAACAGATTTCTGAATCTGACTTTCTTCATATCCCTGGTGAATGCTTTGACAACTGGGCTATAGAATTAGTCCCTCCCTTTGTCCCAGTGAATATTTATTATTTATTTATACAAAGTGAAACAGCTCCACAAGACAAACTGAAAAATAAAGACAGAGACAGACTTTCCACTCACATGGGTTGAATGAGACCAAGAATCAAGTCCCTCCTGGAATGAATATTTAATTTGGTATATAAAGTCTGAAAACAACTATGACAGGACAGCTTGAAGGAAATTGCCCCAAAATAGTCAGTATCATGGATGCTCAAGACAGTATCTGGGGTGCTCAGATAAATGAAAAAGTTTAGATTCAAATTCCTGCTTCTAATCTGGCAGCATGAAGAATTGAGACAATGCCATGTTCTTGGTAGTGTCCTGCCACCATGTTACTATATATTCTGAGATGCAGGGTGATCTCTTTCCAGTCCTGGTTTCCAATGGAAAACTGTTAATGTCTCAATGAGTTACTGAAAAAAGAATGAAATATTGGAAATATTTGCAGAAAGGGAAAACAGGTGCCCACCAAGCTCTCCTTTTCATGTCTCTTCTTCTAGCATTACTATTTTCAAGGTCTACCAAACCACTTCCCCCAGACTCCTTATTAAGAATCCTTTTAAGAATCTATCATATCTTTTTAGTGGTTTTCATTCCCTTCCATACTCAACATTTTGCTTCAATCTTCTCTAATTCAGGGTTCTATCCTTCACAATGCTAGCACACACAAAGCAAAAGGAGTGATACTTCTGCTGTATTTAGGACTGGTGAAGCACCACCTGGAGTACTGGTGTGTAATGTTGGGCACTACACTTCAAGTAAGACATGGAAAAACTAGAAAGAGTACAGAAGAAAACAACAAAAATGATTAGAGGTCTAGAAAACATGACATACACAACATGGTTGGAAGAACTGGGATTATTTAGTCTGAGAAATGGAAGACAGAAGATGGGACAACTCTCTTCAGATACCTGAAGGCTGCTTAAAAGAAGATGGTGATGAACTATTCTCCATAGCTGTAGGGGAATGGACAAGGAAATTGCAATGATGAAAATTTAGGTTGGCTATGATGAAGGACTTTCTAAATATGAAAGTGATTAAGCACTGGAATAGGTTATCTAGAGAGGTTCTGGAATCTCATACTTTCAAAGCTTTTAAGAGCAGGTTGGACACAATTGTCTGGAATGGTTTAAAAAGGAATGATCCTGTTTTGAGCAGAAGCTGGACTTGAGTAACTAAAGTCCCTTTCATCCATATTTTTCTACAATTCTGTATTTCATAAAAATAGTTTAAAAGTTGTGATAATCCTCATGAAAAGACGGAAAAACTATTTAAAATATTTATAAAGAAAGTCATGTTTCCATTAAGAAACCTGGACAGAACTTTATGGGGCTAAACATAAAATCATATATACATGTTCAGAACCAAGAACAACTTAAAATTAAAAAAAAAGAAAATCCTTTTGCGGAGTATTTTTACGTTTTAATGAAAATCTGTACTTTCTCCAATATTTTTTCTTAAAAGAAATCTATTTATTTAGATCCTCACAATCATTTTTCATATACAGGACACTTCTAAACTAATGACAATTTTAAAACGGTGGACTAAAATGTGGGTTTTTCTTCTATTATGTTATCCTCTTCTGATAGTACTTAACATCAAGAAGATTCTAATCTCCCTTTTTTTCTCTGACCAGAAGATGTGGATAACCCAAATCACTCATAAATCCAAATCAGGAAAAGCCATATAAAAAGTCTCCCTGATGCAAAATAAATTAGCCCAGAATTTCTAAGCTGCAAACTGCCCTCCCCCGCATTCTGACAATCCATCTTGTTTAACAATAAAATCGAGCTGCTAAGGCAACTGCCATCTTTACTCAATTCAGCAACATTCATGTACATGTTTCTTCTTCATCAGGAACAAACAATTAGTAACAAATGAAAGAGATCATTACATCAAGTGCCCTTTTAGATCACCCCAATTAAAACTTTAGTTTAGCTGTATTTTAATTCTAAGATACCAAATTCTAATTTTCTGCTCTGATTGCTCTTGTTGACTTATCTTTGAAAGATGTACTCTCAGTGCAAAGCCTAGAGATTATTTAGCAAGACGCCAATGTTGGCACCACTTAATGTGTTGA